GTACGAGATGAATTCAGTGGATTTAGGTGTTAGATTCTCCTTCACCTCTATAGACTTTCCCTCTCCAGACTTTAGTTGAATTGCTCGTCGTCGGCAATCGATAATTGCTCGGTGTTCGGTGAGCCAATCCATTCCGAGGATGATGTCAAATTCTTTGTACGGTAATTCGACAAGATTGGCAGAGAACTGATGTCCTTCAACAATCAATGGACAGTCTTGATACACATGATCTAACCTCATACTATGTCCTAACGGGTTAGACACTAGTATAGGTTGTTCCAATTGTTCTTTCATTATGTCAGCTTTTTCAGGCATATGTACACAGATATAAGACAACGTTGATCCAGGGTCTATCAACACATGCATGATAGTATCAAATAAGGAAAACATACCCTGAATGACGTCAGGGTTTTCCTCAGTTCGTGCCTTCATTGCATATGTACGAGCAGGAGCTCGTCCTTGTTGTTGGTTCTGATTCTTAGCTGGCTTAGACCCCGCTGTTGAGCGTTGACTTGGTGCGGGTCGTGCTGATGCAGACTGGCTAGCAACAGGAGCAGGTGGGAATGGTTCTCCAGGGTTTGTAGGGCACTCCTTTTTGAAATGTCCTGGTTTTCCACAGCCAAGGCACAACCCTTGCTTCAACCAACACTCTCCAGGGTGGTTCCTTCCACAGTGTTCGCAAGCAGGATACTTTCGCTTCCTGGATCTATCAACGGATGCCATCGATTGAGTTTGCACAAATTTTCCCTTTTTAGAAAAATGTGAGTTACTAGATTCCTGGAATGGCCTTTTTCCTTTTGAGGCAGAATTAGTGGAATGGTAAGTGTTTGGGCCAGCATTGTTTGCCTTTAGGTACTCAATGCAAGCATTCAGGTCACTATCCGCCCTTGCTATGATCTCGTAGGCCTCTGCGAAATCCACAGTGGTTAGGACGGACACACGTGACCTCAGGTCAGGTCGAAGTTTCGTCCTGAATTCCTCAATGCGATCAGTTGGGGTACTCACCAAGGTTGGCGCAAACTTTGCAAGCTTGGTAAACTTCTGACGATATTCAGGGAGTGTCATGTTTCCTTGTTCCAGCTCCACAAATTCTTTACGTTTTTCTTCACTAAAACGTTTCGGAATATATTCTTGCTTGAATGCCCATTCGAAATGTGCCCAAGTCCACGGCTTAGGGGTTCCCGCACTTTCATCGATTCTCTTCCACCACTCGTAGGCTTCATTTCGCAGCAGTTGAGAAGACAGTCGAGGGTAGTTGTCTATAGGTACGTTGAGATCCTTCAATACTCGAGCAGTCTGCTCGATCCAGTCCCACGCAATTTGGGGTTCACCGATGCGATCCCCAAGGAATAATTCTGCACCATTATCCCTTAGCGTTTTGTAGGTTATCACTCGAGGTGGCGGTGGTGGAGGTGGTTGAAACATCGGCGCGTTGGCTATTTGTTGTAACACATTGGCCAGAAAAGTTGGGATTACAAGGTCGGGTTGATCACCAGCGTTCGGGTTATTCCCATCATTTTGTTGATTGACATGTTCATTTTGGATGGGAGGGGTGAAACTAGATGCTTCAGTATGAACACTGATGTGTTCATTGTTGTTGCCTTGTCCATGGGCAGATTCTTGACTCATTCTACAATAACAGAAATTCCTTTATTCGGATTCTTTTATTCAGTAGTTGAGTTTAAGACAGGAATTGTAAAGGATTACAATAGTCGATACAATCAATGGATTCGAAACGATTAACAAGATAGTTTCTAAATGTGTGCGTTCAATTGTTTGGATCGTGACGAATCTACAGCTGGTTCTTCTATCCCTGATCCACACACGCTGTTGGCAGAATCTACGCTGAATGTCTCTTCCGGGTCGTCTCGTTCCCATGCAGCCTTACGGCGCAAATAAATCCTTCGTTTCATTATTCTCGCGAAGCGATGTGCACGTTGGTAACGTATCAACGAATCATAGACATTTCGTTTGTTCTTTCGTCTTTTACCAAGTACGAAAGTGCGACTTGAATCAACACTTGATATCATTTCCGAATTAACAATGGACATCTATAAAATTTGATATAGTCAATTTCAGCACTCATTTTTTTTTTTTTTTTTTACCTTCCTGGAGCAGAGGGATGTGAGAGTCGTGGATGTGATTGACAAATTTTTTTTTTTTTTATAGCCAAAATATATATGTATATATATATATTTAAATCCAAGTTTTGATCCGAAGATCGGGTTTAAAACCATTTGCTCCGATACCAAATTGTAACACCCTAATCCGTCCAGATCTGCAGCCCTTTTCGGACTAAAGTATAAACTTGGTATTCGTAAACATTTAAAATATTTCAAATATTTAAAACTTTATTTCATAATGAATAATTCAAAATAGTAACGGAGTAATTTAATGTTGCGGAAGCATAATACAAACATAATTCATTTTTGTCTTTTCAACAGTAATTTTAATGCAAAACACACATCCGTCCGATCTTCTCATCCCATCTGCCTCCAGGAGATCATCTCTTCATTCTTTTTGTTTACCTGCGTGTAGCAAATAAAACATACTACACGCTCAGCGTTTAAGCTGAGTAAGCATATCTAATGCGTCGAACATCCATATAAATTGAATCTCAATTCACAAACAACCATTTGATGTCATGCACACAATATATAATTCATTCATGATATTTTCCATTTTTCAATATTCAACATTCAATGCTCAACAATATCTTTAACTAAGCTTAGTCTAAAAGATTTGATGATTACCAACTCTTAAACTATTTCTAGTTTAAGGTACTTCTAACCAACTCTTAAGCTAGGTCATTAGTTTAAGGTACATATTCCAATTTATTTACCAACTCTTAAACTAGCCTTCGCTTAATGTACAAATCCAGAAAACTGAACAGTAGATTACTAACTGTCAGGTTGGGTGGTATCCCCAAACGAGTTCCTCTAGTTTGGTTTATGGATCCCGTACGTACGTTTTTACCCAAGGCCACCGAATATACGTTCTTATACTCGCAAGGCCCATTCTAATCAGAAGTCTATCTTAGAGGTCTTCTAAGTAGCCTTAATAGTATAGTTCATTAATTCATTATTATCAACTTAACAATTCATGATCATCATTCAGAGTATTCAACATAATTAATTATCATAAACA